GCAAAACTATTATTATTATTATTATTATTATTATTATTATTCACAGAATCCAAAAGAAACAGAAAAAATAAAATGCCTAATAATAAATGGTTTTTAAAACTAGTAACAGAAAATATGCACAGCGGTGGACAGATGGGTGCAGATGTGGTATTTGATACGATTTTTAATTTGGCCCGATTAGGGTGAAGTGGTATGACTAAGAACACTGACACAAAACCTCTAGTTTAGTCATATATGCACATAGTGAAGATTTAGATTGTATACAACTGAATGTCTGGGCTTTATTAGAGCAAGCCAATCTCCTGCAGTAAAACCCCTCTCCAGCTGAGGGGCTGGAAGCTTAAGACACGGCGGAATCTGGGTTGAAATTTAATTAGAGCACCAAATGTCACACTTGATTCTCGTTACCTGGACCTGATGAATAATGTATCAGACTGACAAAGACAACTTAATTTCAGCTCAGAGCTTGTCTTGAAATGATTCCCTAAGGTCCTCGTGTTCCTCTGTATCTCAAGACAGCACTCACAGGTGGTACTGTTGTTGCCCCCCCATCTGCACCAAAGACAAGCTGTGTGTTCAAAACGAAGATATGAGGAGGAGTTTTGCTGATAACCCGCGCACAGTTCATTAAAAAACTAAATTACTAAATTATACACATACTCACCCTATGCCCCCACACAATTGCTTCACTCTGATATTTCCACAGCTTACCCTTCCCACAATTTACACCTGCCCCAGACCTTGCTCAACATCTGCACTCTTTAATTCTAATGTCAGGGGGGTCAGTAGTGCTGTGCTGTCTGCTAGATAATATCCCTCATTTGAACTAAGAACCAGGGAAGATTTATCTACTGCTACATGCATAGTAGATGATCAATTGGTGTTTTTTTTTTTTTTTCAAAAAAAAAAACAAAACCATGAATACTATTCCTTTGTTGGAAAATTTCTTTCTCCTGAACGTGTAACCATGGTTGCAGTGCAGCTGCTTGTTAGACAAAATCTTCCTGCAAAAAGGAGATGAAACCATTACAGAGCAACCAGTTTGTGTCTGTACGGAACAATTTGCTGTCATACTAATTATATGCCAAAAACACATTTCATCAAGCAGTTGGGGCATTCATTTTCAAATGTTATGCTTGATATTTCTTGTGAATAGATACTAAATTGAAATAAGAGACTGAAAAAAAATCACAAAGAACACATGTAAATTAATACCCAAAGATACATTGACATATAGCCATTCACCCACAGATGATTAAGAGGGAGACTTTTTGGGGAAGATTTGCTGAGGTAAAGAGCAAGAAGCCTTCTCGATAACAGATGGGAGCCAAAAAATGTTTGGCTTGTAGCCATTGCGAAGTCCATTCAAATGGTTTATTTTATGAAGGAAAGGTGGCCATAGGTACCTTCATTGCTTCCTTCCAGCAAGGAAAGACAGGACCAATCTTGGAAGAAAGGAAATAGCAAATATGGATCACAATCCTTTGCAGCTCTGGCAAATGGATGCATAATTTGTGTCCCATAGTTTCCCGAATAATTGCGATGGCTGTCTTCGCCATCAAGCACAGGATGTATTGAAGCAAAGGACCTTAAATTTCTCTCAAACATGTCTGAAGGTAACTCCAAAATCTCCCCGCAACTTCCCCTTGGCCTGTGTGACTTTTTCTTTTGAGGTCATAGAAAAGTGGAATGGAAAAGAAAAAGGCCACTTGTTTAAGATAATTCGGATGCAGCTGAAGACCTTATGCATGTGCAAGACATCTTGGCACATACAAAACCAATAACATGGTCAATGATTGGTGCAAAACAAATACCCTGGCCAGTCATTGGAAGGTTTTGCTCGTGCAGAGGGGCTAAGTAAATCCGGCTCTTTGTATCTTCATAATGAGCATATAATCAAAGGGAATTATTTAGCCTGTAAGAAACAGGCCTCTTTACTAACCATAAATACAAGCCCTGTAATTTCAAGTAACGCTTACATGCAGTCCAATCTTTAAATCAAAATTGCTGAGCCTAAAAGGAGATATATTTGCCTCATGACTATGGTAAAATGGGCTCAGGCTGCATAATGAAAAACAGCATGAAACAGAATGAGTTCAGGAAAATATGACTGGACCGTCAGAAATCCAATATAAAGTCATTAAATTGTACATCCGCTTAATACAAAGCCAATAGGAGCACCTCAGAGTACTCGTGATTCAATTTTCAATTTTAATTTATTTTTTGTGCAGGGGTTGAAGGTGTGGGGGTGCAGAGTTGGGACACTGCCACACACCTGTTTGATTCTAAAGGAGCCAAACTCGATTGTTCGTTCAGTCAAAACCAGAGATCTATCCATTATCTAAAATGCCTCTTTCTTATCAGGGTTGTGGGGTAGCTAGAGTCCTCCCTGGCCAACCACGGGAAAAAGGCAAAACCACACCCTGGACAACTCGACAATCCAGCACAGGGCACGCACTCCATTCACACACTCATACCTACAGGACATTTAGAAACTCCAATCAACTTAGCATTCACGTTTTTTTTTTTTTTTTTTTTTTGGGCTGTGAGAGGAAACCAGTGTCTCTGGAGGAAAGTGACATGAATATGGGGAGAACATGCAAACTTCAACAGCTCTATCCAATGTGCCACCCCAAAAACAGGAATGTGTCCATAAAAATTAATTCTCTTATGCTATTCATAAGGATCCATGAATAACATTTTTCACAAGGCCAAAGGTTGAATTAATTTTGGAGTACTTCCATCAACAAAACAATATTTCATACTGATTGTGACAAAATGTACTCTGGCACAAAAACATCACTGCCAGGTTAATAAGTTCAGGTTAATAAGTGAGGCACTCATAATCAGGGCGACCACTTTCAGGAGTGAAACCAAAGAATTATGCTCAAATTCACCATAAATAGATTGCAAGTGTAATTTAACTAGTGCAAGGAGAGGAACCTTAAATTAGAGAGGCACTCTAAATATTAGGCCAGAGAATTTAGAAATATATATGTAAAACTCTCCTCTCACACATTGTGAATACATCTTAATTTATGCTATTCATTTCATTGTAGAAAAAAAAATCAGCAGCATGGAGTAGCTCTCATTATTTTTCTATAAAGTTTCTATAGAAACACATCTTATTTATAACCCTGAATACGACAGCTGCTGGTGTATAGGCAAGCTAATTGATTGGCCCCTTTTCAACATCCTTCGACACAGTTCAGGTAGGCAAGGTACAGTACATACATTGACAGCCTTAAATTATCCACTCACATTAGGTGAACATGTCATTTATGTGTAAGTGATAAATATGAAGTGATTTAATGACCAAATGTACTGGCTGACCAAAAAAAGTCGCCCTTAATGTTTCATTGGACTGCCTATCACTTTGATTAAGAAACTACACTCAGAGTGGTATTGCTTTGACAACCTTGTGCAATGTCTCTAGATTTATTTCTGTCCAGAGTTGTATTTGATTTTTGGCCATGATCTCGTATTGACCTCAAACCACTCTGAAAAGTCTTCTCCAGCCCATTAACAGGGTTAATAAGGCGTCGGACAATTTATAATAAAGCTCCAGTGATTCCTGCGATCTCCTTTGTTGTTTTCTTTGCTTGATGCAGGCCTATAATTTTTCCCCTCTGAAACACTGAAACAACTTTTCCACGACTGGGGGATCCAGCATCTGACATAGTTGTTTAAAAAAATTGGGAAGCTACACACTGCATCAATAAGGGTTAAAAGAATTGTTGCCCATTGAATCATATTAATCACTTCAATAATAAACCAATCATGGGCTCTTAATAATTTGCTTATTTCAGCTAAACGGCAACTCTTTTTAGCCAGGCAGTGTACATAGAGAATATTATAGGCATGCTGGAAGCGTATTTGTTTAAAATTGGCACGTTTTCCATGTGCTGGACACTTTAATCATCTCAGGCTGTCTGGCGTAGTGCAATCATTTTTGCCCACTTACATTTCGAAGCCCATATATCACAAACAACATTAAGCTTTTGTTATTTAATCCAGACTTGTATGGATTTTTCCAATGAAAACAAAATCTTGCAGAACTTATTCTTGATTCTTGATATTAAATTGGTCCCACCACTTAAATCAATGCATCATCTTAAAGATGTATGAATACTGTATGAGTGTATCATGAGGAGTTACATGCTCCTGTAAGAAAATAATACTGGAGGGAATGGGCTCCTCTTAGTAATGTTAAGACTGTGGAGAGCGATGTAATCAGAATTGACCACTAGGTGGCAGGCTGTCTTTTGCATCCTTCAGTCAACTTGGTCAAATAGAGCAACATTTGTTTCTCTATTCTCTGGATGCCCAGGCTTCAGGGTCACTTAGTCCCGCTTGGCATCAAAATCTCTACAGAAATCACTGAGTCGTCCTTCGTACTATTTCAGGAACCTGCGATGGTAAATGCTTGCGAAGGAAAGAGTTTTTCTTTCTTTTTCTTTTTCTCTTTCTTTGAAGAACACTGAAAATGAACCCTTGTTTGGTTTGTTGCAGTCTTGTGACTGTACATCATTAATGGTCAGTCCTGGTGCAAAGAGCGTTATCTACAGAGCAAGTAACCTTCACTGATAACAAACACAAACTAGAAATAGTTTGACTCGTTGCCATGACAATGGGTGTCCGAATTGTCTGTTTCATGAAGGAAAGAAGGCTATTAGCTCCTTAGTTGCTTCAATCAAGCAAAGAAATATGGAACCAACTTTGGAAGTTAAAAATAACTGATTATGGACCACAACCCTTTGCAGCTGTAGAGACTGAATAAGTTACTTGTCATAGCTTTCCTGCTGGATCAGTTGCGTCATCAATGATCGTTACTGAGCTTTTCATGTATTGATGGAGAGGACATCTGATTTTTCTCCAACATGTCTCAGGTAACTTCAGAATCTCTCTACAACTGTCCTTTGACCCATGTGACATTCTCTACTGAGGACAAGGTAAAGTGGAGAGCAAAGGCAAAATGGCCCTCTGTTCAACAGAGGGGCGGCACAGTGGCGCAGTGGTTAGCATTTCCACCTCACAGCAAGAAGATTGTGGGTTCAAATCCAGCCTGTGGAGTCTGCATGTTATCCCCGTGTTCGCGTGGTTTCCTCCCACAGTCCAAATACATGCATGTCAGGTTAATTGGAGATACTAAATTGCCTATAAGTGTGAGAGCAAATGGTGTGTCCAGGGTGGGTCCCTGCCTTTGCCCATAGTCAGCTCGGACAGGCTCAACCCCCCCGCGACCCCAATGAGGAAGGTGGGGGTATAGAGAATGGATGGATGGATGAATGGATGGATTCAAGACAGTCTGGATGCACTTCTGGGGTGTGTTTCCCAAAAGCATAGTTGCTAGCAACTTACATAGTTGGTCCATTCCCACTATGTAAGTTATCATCTGTGCTTTCAGGAAAAGCACCCGTGGCCCAAGAAGGGCTGCTGTGACTGTTGATTTTTGTTGTTCCTCATCAGTTGCAGCATTGTATTTGTTTCCATCTTGATTTCTTCTATTTTTGCTTATTTGTCAAATTAAATTGTTTCAGATCATCCCACTAATTTCAAAATCAGACAAAGACAATGAGTATGAGAAAATGAGTAAATGAAGCTTTTAAATGATCATTTCATTTAATGATGGTGAAGACTCATTCAAAATCTATATCACTCAAGAAAAAATAATCACCTCCTAAATCAAATAAAAGGCTGTGCCCTATGCAGCAGTAACTGGCAATGAGTCTTTCACATCACCGTCAAGCAATTTTGGCCAACTTCTAACAAAATTATTTTAACTCAGCCACACTGGAGGGTATTTAAGCATAACCTGCCTCTTTAAGCTCATGGAGCAGCATTTCAGTTTGATTCCAGTCAAGACTTTGACGAGGCCACTCAAAGCCTTCATTTTTTTAGCCACTCTCTTGTTTACTTTGGATCATTGTCCTGCTACATAACCCAACTGTGCTTGAGCTTTAGGTCACAAATATATGGCTGAACAGTCTCGTTCAGAGAGTCGCATTCATGGTTCAAGCAATTACTGTATAGCAAATCGCCCTGGTCCTGAAGCAGCGAAACAACCCCAAATCATAACACAACCACCACCGGTTTGACTGTTAGCATGATGTTCTTATTGAGAAATGCTATATCAGCTTTACGCCGGATGTAACTGGACCCGTGTGTTACACCCCACCCTTATGTCGGCTCAATGGGGAAAACACCACTCCACTACTGACCCAAATCCACAAAAAACACCTTTGAAACAATTAAGTTCATTGAATTTATTAACATCAGAGACATAAAACCATCCAAAAAATGAAATCAAAAGAACCGAAAACACAAAGTGAAAACTCAACAATGATACAAAAATCCTAGGCTCAGAAGCAGCAACACCAGCTATCCCCACATCAGAAGCCTCTCCCTTCTCATGCTGACACAGGTGCTTCTAAGCACTTCATTCCCTGGCCAGTCGCACCTCATTGAGCAATCAGATGAAGCACACCTGTGCAGAGCTAGAGAGGACAGGAGAGGTTTAAGGACAAACAGCACAGGAACCAAACACAACTGTAAAAACCACGTCTTCCAAAAAAGTTCAGCTTGTGATTCACCAGTCCATAGAATATTATCTCAAAATAGAAAATGGTGTTTCTTTTGACTGGCAGTGGTTTTCGTCTTGTGGCTTCCCCATGGATTTCAATTTTGCCCAGTCTCTTTCTTATTGCAGAGCTGTGAACACGCACCTTAACTGAGACAAGTGAGGCCTGCAGCTCTTTAGATGTTGTTCGGGGTTTTTTTGTGATCTCCTGGATGAGTCGTCAATTCACTCTTGGAGGAATTTTAGTCGGCCAGCCACTTCTAGGAAGGTTCACCACTATTCCAAGTTTTCTGCATTTGTAGATAATGGCTCTCACCGTGGTTCGCTTAAGTCCAACAGCCTTAGAAATGGCTGTGTAACCCTTTCCAGGCTGACGGATGTGAATGACTTTCTCATCTGTTCCTGAATTTCTGTAGATTGCGGCATCATTTGCTGCTTATTGCCTACTTTAGATTGTTTAGATTCAACAGGGCTGGCATGAATTATGGATGGGTGAGTCTCGTGAAGTTGATAGATGTCAACAACTTTATTTCTCATCTGTTCTTGAATTTCTGCAGATTGCAGCATCATTTAATCTACAAATAAGAAATCTGAAAGGGAGTAAACACTTTTTCACAACACTATGAGTGAGCAATTAAGATAGGTAATTACACAACTGACTCACCTCACTTGTTTTCTTCGCCCTTATGAGGTCAATTACAAAAGCCAGCACACTCTGCGGCCCTCCTGGCCCAAGGTTAGCCACCACTACTATATATCTTTTTTTTCATTAATGCTGCTATAGCACATTTTCTGTTTCCATATTCAACTCAGGCTTCCTCAAGTGAGACTGTGCAGATGTAATTATCATGTTTCTGACCTTTCCCCTTTTTTAGCCCTCTTCCCTGAGGCGTCTTCACCTTTCTCCCACCCTAGAACTGATCCGGCCTTGACCCACTCCTGAATCCTGGTTTTAGCACATGCCGCAATGGGACTTGGAAGCTTAGGTTCATCACCTTGCTTTCCTGAGTTGCATATTAATGCAGCAATGCTTCTGCTCAGCCATTTTGCCTCAGAGTCTAACTGGTCAGGCTATATCTGCTAAATCTGCTAAGATCATTTTCTCCCCATTACCTCCAATTACCATCCTGCCCAGGGGTAGGCATTCCCGTGACAAACCACAATCATTTAGATTAGGTGTGTTAGAGCAGAAAGACATTGGAAACATGCCAGCCTACATTTCCTCCGGAGGGTTGCCTACCCCTGTTGTAGCCCAATTTCTCCAGCAAAGGGTCGCCAGCAGAAATTGGGTTCCCCACTTTATGATTAGGTTCCTCCAAAGCTTTTTCTCTTCAAAGTGTTTTTCCACCAGTATTTCAAGTTATTTGGCAATCAGCAGATACTCCTATCTGATAGAACTAACGTCCTGGCTGAAAATTCCAGGTATGACTAGCTGGGGTCCCTAGTTGGTTTATAATGGTCTGTGTTGTGTTTTAGATACCAGTCTGAGGTTCCAAGCTGGTCTGTTGAGATTAAAAGCTGGTTAAACTAGTTTAGCTACTGGAGTAAGCTGGTGATCAAGCAGGTGGACCAGCTGTCTACTTTGGCTGGCCAGCAGGTTGACCAGCTACAAGTGTCCACAGTCCAGCGAAAACCAGTTTGACCTGCTTTTGCTGGGGTGGTATTTCTCATATGTCCAGGGTAGTACTGGCGAGAGAGTATTACTATATAGACAGTACAATGCAAATTTCTGTGATTTTAACTACAGTGAGTTTAAGTGTCCTGATGCATCTCTGATTATTACATGCAATAGATGGCCTGAAGAGAATTGCATCGATCCACTCACATGCTGGAATCTGGTGCCATAAATTTGCAAGTGTTTTCACAATTAAGCAAACAGTAGGTGGGAGGCTGCTTTAAAAAATACAAACATGGGGCTGGTCAAAATGGAAGCGGTGAGGCTGTTGACCTCAGCAACAAAATGTCTGTTTGCTTAGCAGCATGAGGCAATGTTATGAAAACTGCATCACTCAACTGCTATAGCTATGCCCTCTATGAAATCTCATCAGAAATCTCCCAATAGAAAACATCTTCTCAATAAAGCAAATTCTCTCTTGTCGCTTGAATTTGCTTGTCAACGTTGCTTGAATTTGAAACCGTTGCCATGTCACGGTAACCTTTGCATGAGCCCAACATAACAGCTGACAGCCGAATTGACTGCTGACCGGATGGAAGAATGTCAAAGCACCCTGTGGATCTGAAATGATAGGCTCATCATTGAAGAAGAGCCTAAACTGCGTGTGACAAACGTACTCACAATGAGTCCCACACTGTACTTGTGAAGGCCCGGGCACAGCATGTCCGACACCTAAGGATTGTGTTTCAAGTGCTCTGGCCTGATGTAGAGAGGAAAATTGCCGCTGATTATGCGATACAGTGCGTCTGTGCAGCTATGTAATCTGAATGAGTAAATAAATAAATAATTCAAATCGCATTGCCCACAACAAAAGAGCTTTTGATTTGATAATGGCTTCAAGCATGTTGATTTACTGCCAAAGTTGTTTTTTTTATATATTCAGAAGTAGAATGTTAACCAAAAGCAACATTCCAGCATAACTTGAACCTGTATTTGAAGGCTTTCAGTCCTCCATATGTTTTGAATACCGTACCACTGTAGGTGAGGATGCGATAGAAAAATACTTAAAAGCTACCTTATCTCGCATACACAGCCAGCAATGACATAATTATGAAGCATGGGGTTCAGTCTCATACTGATTTATGCCTAGGCTGAAGGGATCTTTTAACTGTCTCTGCTTTCACCTCCCTGTCAATCATAAAAGAATCATTTCTCATGCTCTAAGAGAGATTTAGGGCTGTTCTGTTATTCACTGGGCACCATAATTAACCTTCATCCTACTAAGTGGGGTCCATCTGGACCCCGCACCTATATATTCGTTTTCCATTTTAAAAAAAATGTGACATACTGCCTCACCGTTTCATGAATTTGTCAGAATTTATGTCTTAATTAAAACACTAAAGCACCGGAAGATCAGCTTTTTGCATTGTGAAGGTATAATTAATTTGTTACTGGGGTCCAACTGAACCCCAGAGTAAAACTTACCTGTCTTTTATTTTATAATTGAATAGCAGACTGAAAGTTAACTTCTTTTTGGTTGTTTCAGATTCATAATGGCCAACAGACAAAGACAAGCTGGATACACAGCAGCAGAGGCCTTAAGGCAGATTCTGAACACAAACAATGAAAATTATTTTACATTACTTTTTTGCTTTAAATTCTGTAAGAAAAGACAGAAGTTGTATCCAGAATGTTCTACAGCTGCATGAGCTGCAAAAATCATGAATATAATGCAAAAATTTCTTTTGTGGTGCTATAATTTGCTAAGTGTATGCTAGTTATTTCAATATTATTGCAATGTTATTGCATTTATAATACAACATTGATATTCAGCAGTAGTGGATTTTGTTCTTCAATAAAGTTATATGTGTTTGCTGC